TGACAAATCCTGAAGTTTGCATAGATCTTTATTTTTCATAGAATCTATCAATTAAATAAAAAGGACAAATTTAACAAGAGCAAAACAAATCTTTAAATTACAAGAAAATTACACTGCACCATATATATAGTACAAAAATAGGCCTTATTTTAGAGTTATGTCCCATCTTAAGGTAGTCATTCTTTTACATTATTCATAGGTCACTGTTTCTGTTAGGTACTGTATGTAGCCCCAGGCCAAAGACTTAATGAGGAGAGGTGTGGAGAGGTGGACAGAGCTGCATGGGCCGTGTCCAGAGCTCTGTTTAACCCCCATGAGAGTGTTTCTTCTGTAGTTGTAACACACACACACACACACACACACACACACACACAGCCTCATACAGCCCTTTAGTGTATGGGGATGGGATACATTCTCAATCTGCTCCCTCCACATCCAACGCTGTATCTCAGCTCCACCACTGTTACCCAGCAGGGGGTGGAGAGGGAAAGGTCTCTCTGCATTAAAAAGCAGGAATAACAGAAAGAGCTAAAAAATGACAAATTCATCTTATTTATGAATCAATGCATATAGAAAACCTCAGATTGCGTCATCTCCCCATCTCAGGCTCAGCAATCTGGAGCAGAACTGTACTGAACACAACTCTAAATTTCCCCATCTTTGGTAATGCCAGAAACTCTGCTGCAGTCAGCTGTAGTATTGAGGCTGCACTGCAAGGAGTGCAACCTCCTTTCCAGCAGCTGTCTATTCTCTTAGACATAGTGTTATAATGCAATAGAGATTTCCACATTCAGGAGTGACCAATTTAGAGGCAATAATGTAAGTGGGGGAAGTACGTTAGGGCATTAAAATGATTGCCTCAGCTGCAACTCAACTATAATTCTGGTAGGTAGAAAAATCCCTAAGAATGTATCAGTTACTTCTTCATTTTAAGGGAACAAATGATCATCAATGACAGCATTACTGTACCTTACATCAGCCAGGGCCAAACGGCACACTATTCCATCTTTGTAATAATGACATCTTTTGCTCAAAGTTGGCAGTCATTACTTTGCAATCAGAGGATAGCAACCCCCCCAGTCTGTGTATTGGAGATTGTCTTCCTCAGCAATGTTTTTAATTACATAAGATTTAAAGCACAGGGATTACCCCCCTTAGAAAACAATCCTGAAAACGATATATTCAGTGGGCATAAATAAGGATATATGAAATTACCTTTAAGTTGTGCCAAGATAGAGTAGGGGAGGAGAGAGAGAGAAAAGGAGAGAGACTGCAGCCCTACAGCCCTGGCACTGTAGATAAAGACATTTTAGTCTTATTATTACTGTAGATGTGTAAATCAGTGAAAGGAATACTCCTACGCTTCAAAATAAATATCCTTCTCTGAAAAGCTTTCACCTTTGACCTAAAGTGAGGGAAAAAAGTATTTGATCCCCTGCTGATTTTGTAAGTTTGCCCACTGACAAATACATTTTCAGTCTATAATTTAAATGGTAGGTTTATTTGAACAGTGAGAGACAGAATAACAACAAAAAAATCCAGACAAACGCATATCAAAAACGTTATAAATTGATTAGCATTTTAATGAGGGAAATAAGTATTTGACCCCCTCTCAATCAGAAAGATTTCTGGCTCCCAGGTGTCTTTTATACAGGTAACGAGCTGAGATTAGGAGCACACTCTTAAAGGGAGTGCTCCTAATCTCAGTTTGTTACCTGTATAAAAGAAACCTGTCCACAGAAGCAATCAATCAATCAGATTCCAAACTCTCCACCATGGCCAAGACCAAAGAGCTCTCCAAGGATGTCAGGGACAAGATTGTAGACCTACACAAGGCTGGAATGGGCTACAAGACCATCGGCAAGCAGCTTGGTGAGAAGGTGACAACAGTTTGTGCGATTATTCGCAAATGGAAGAAACACAAAGAACTGTCAATCTCCCTCGGCCTGGGGCTTCATGCAAGATCTCACCTCGTGGAGTTGCAATGATCATGAGAACGGTGAGGAATCAGCCCAGAACTACACGGGAGGATCTTGTCAATGATCTCAAGGCAGCTGGGACCATAGTCACCAAGAAAACAATTGGTAACACACTACGCCGTGAAGGACTGAAATCCTGCAGCGCCCGCAAGGTTCCCTTGCTCAAGAAAGCAGATATACAGGGCCGTCTGAAGTTTGCCAATGAACATCTGAGTGATTCAGAGGAGAACTGGGTGAAAGTGTTGTGGTCAGATGAGACCAAAATGGAGCTCTTTGGCATCAACTCAACTCGCCATGTTTGGAGGAGGAGGAATGCTGCCTATGACCCCAAGAACACCATCCCCACCGTCAAACATGGAGGTGGAAACATTATGCTTTGGGGATGTTTTTCTGCTAAGGGGACAGGACAACTTCACCACATCAAACGGACAATGGACGGGGCCATGTACCGTCAAATCTTGGGTGAGAACCACCTTCCCTCAGCCAGGGCATTGAAAATGGGTCGTGGATGAGTATTCCAGCATGACAATGACCCGAAAACACACGGCCAAGGCAACAAAGGAGTGGCTCAAGAAGAAGCACATTAAGGTCCTGGAGTGGCCTAGCCAGTCTCCAGACCTTAATCCCATAGAAAATCTGTGGAGGGAGCTGAAGGTTTGAGTTGCCAAACGTCAGGCTCGAAACCTTAATGACTTGGAGAAGATCTGCAAAGAGGAGTGGAACAAAATCCCTCCTGAGATGTGTGCAAACCTGGTGGCCGACTACAAGAAACGGCTGACCTCTGTGATTAACAACAAGGGTTTTGCCACCAAGTACTAAGTCATGTTTTGCAGAGGGGTCAAATACTTATTTCCCTAATTAAAATGCAAATCAATTTATAACATTTTTGACATGCGTTTTTCTGGATTTTTGTTGTTGTTATTCTGTCTCTCACTGTTCAAATAAACCTACCATTAAAATTATAGACTGATCATGTCTTTGTCAGTGGGCAAACATACAAAATCAGCAGGGGATCAAATACTTTTTTCCCTCACTGTATATAATCATTCATCATTGCTATAGAACATATACTCTGCTGCCGTTGCTGTGTGATCTGAGTGAGAGGACGGGATGAGCAGCTGCATCAATCTTATATGCATGTTGTCACTATGACAACCCCTCTCAGTGAAGCCTCCTATTATCTGCTGGAAATGAAAAATAACTTCAACATAAAAAAAGAAAAAAAAGATGGATGGATCCAATATTTGTCCAATGGATGGATTAATGAGGTGCAGATTGTAGAAGGAAGATATGTAGTCAACAATTCACTTTAAGGTTTTTCAATAAAGATACAGTATGAGTAGAAAAAAACATCCCTTGGAACACATCTGAGCTGTATTGTCGTTCAGAATATAATTCATTGGCAAGTATATGAAACCGATTATCTCTAGTTTTCATCGACATCCCTGATGATGACTGGAGGGCGAGTGGAGAGAAGCTGACTCAGTTCTTTAACATAGCCAGTTCTTTAAAGAAAAGCAGACAGGGAAACTACAACTCCAAAGGCCAACCAGTATCATAGCTCAGCCTACAAACACAACCACATCCTTAGTATTCCTAATGTAGTCATTCCCTCCTATTGCTCAACTAGACACCTGCTCAAACACTTGGCCGGCACACACTCAGACACACAAAGACACATACACACACCCTACCTCTTGTTTCAGTAAGTTATAAGACCAACATAGCGCTATGTGTGTGTGATGAACAGCATTAAAAGAGCAGCAGAGTAGGGAGAGTGGAGAGCCCCATCTGGTAATCATGGCCAGGCTTTGTTATTCTCTCTCTCCTCTGCAGTGTGTAAAACCCTTCTCTCTATCACACACTCCTCTCACTACCTGTATAGCTGCTCAGAGAAGCCCACAGGAGCCCTTGTGTTAAAAAAAGTAACTTCTACTGTACTTGAGCCCCATCCACAATACATCTCACTACCACTCTCATCCTCAGTAGCTGAGCAATTAGAAGCCTTGAGTGGAAAGCCAATTTAATTATTCCTAGGTACTTTTTTCTTGGGAATGGGGTTTTAATCATAGAGGCAATATTATTTTGATCTAAACTCTGAGGCCCAGTAAAGTGTGGAGGCGTAGCTGGGTGAACTGCTGACCTATCTTTGGGGATCTGGCAGCGAGCGAGCACTCAGTCCAAACTCCATCCCTCCTCCATCCCCCCCACTGGAGAGCAGAGAGGGGCGGAGGTCAGGGGACTTTATATAACCCTCAGAATCACATGAATCCAGCATTCCTAAACCGCTCTGAATAAGCAGAACGCCTCCTGAATTCCATGCCGAGGGGAGAGTGAGCGTTGCTAGTCTCATAGCCATGTATCCAGCCATAGCTGAGAGAGAGATACAGTCTCATACTGCAGCATGGACACACACTCGGCAGCTCTGAGAGGGCCTGGGGCTGATTCACCAAAACACTGGAACTATGAGGACTCCGCTGTGGCTTCTCAGAACCCTACCCCGATCTCGCTGTCCACTCAGCACGCACACACACAGCTGTCTACCCCCAATTTACAATCTCATCCGGCTACTGCAATGGAACTGGAGATGAACAAATATAAAAAAGGAGGGAGAGAGCAAACAATAATCGTTTGTTTATTGTGACATGGAAACCCTGGAGCCATACGGGAAATGGGCTGTGTTCAGACACACTCTGTCTGTTGGTGATTGAGGGCGAAAGGGCACAGAGAGTCCATTTAATAGAAAAGCACCCGAGTGTGAAGCGAGCGCCGAGCACACCCAGGCCATCCCCATTCCACGTGACTCCAGTCTCCCATCAGGTCACCCACTGCAGAGTGGAACACTAAACCTGGGGGATGAAACCCGAGGACAGGAAGAACGAGGGAGCGAAACAGGGAAAGGGAAACCAGAGGAGGGGACCATGAGGAGGCTAGGGAGCCCGGAATTAGACGAGTCAGAGTGATTGGGGGAGAGGCTGTAGAAAGCAGGAATAGGAAGACAGGAGGGGGTTAAAGAGCACTTTGTGTTTTGATAAAGGCAGTCTTCTCATTGTGGACGTCAAACTCATCGTTGTCAGAGTCAGTGTTCACCCCCTCGTCGCCCCAAACTGTAGGGATACCGCGGTACGAAACCATTTTGCTGCTGCCACCCAGGCCGAAGCCCCCCCTCAGGCCTGAGCCTGCCTCCTCCAGTGAGGGCAGTTTGGCCAGGACTCCAGATCTCAGCTGCAGCAGAACGAACACCCCAGCGAAGGTGGCCATGATGACCATGCAGCTGAGCACAGCGATGGTGACGGGCAGGTGGGAGCTGAGTTCTGTGCGGGGACCGGCGTTGCCCTGGCCCACCATGAAGTTGCCGGGGGACTCCCTCTGGATCTGGTTGAGGTGCAGGCAGGTGCTGGACACAGGGTCCAGGTGGCTGTGAGGGGGGCAGGAGAGGCAGGCGCTGGGGCTGAGGCCGCTGCAGGTGAGGCAGGGGGGTCGGCAGGGCAGGCAGGAGGGGACGGAGGCTGGATCCACAAAGTTCCCCATGGTGTAATTTAGGAGCTGGGAGCCTGCAGTGTAGCCTGCTGGACAGTCCCTCACACAGCCCTGCTGGAAGAGGTAGTAGCCACCATTGCACTCTGCATACAGGGAGACAAGAGAGGAGATATGGAGACATGTTTTAGTACTGCTGGTGTCCAAATTCTTCATTTAACATGGTTAGTGCACAGTCACCGCTAATAAATGGATTTAGTTCACACAAACCTTAAAATATGTTAACTGTATTTGAATAGTCTGCCATGACGATCATGCAGCACATTACGCATCGCCTCAAGACGATCATGCAGCACATTACGCATTGCCTCATCATTCTGGGGCATTATAATCATGAGCCTGTGAAAGTTCACTCAACTTAAGCTGCATAATGTTCATGTAGCTTCTGCTTCTGCTAGAATCAACAGTTTCCAGCCGTGAATGTGTTGATGAGCTGTGCAGATTGTGTGCCGAGACAAATGCAGCATGTGTAAATCCCTCATCTATCTGAGGAGAAATGCACTGTAGCATATCTATTTCCGGAGCCGTGCTTTGCCAACCCAGTTGGAAATAATATCACAAATATATGGACTTTCTAATAAGCTCTGAAGCATTTATCTGTACTAAGTCTGCACATCCTCGTGGACAGTTTGGCAGTGGCATTAGTGTCTGTGTGTTATCACCACAGTAGTTTCAGTAGCAGCACCCTGTAACTCCTTATCTCCCCCAATGATTTGGGAAGCTAATCTCACACACACAGCTACTGAGGCTCCACACTCTCTCCCCCCCCACCCCTGCAGCCCACTCCACATCCACCCAAGGCCCATCCCCCCCCCCCCCCAGCCTACACGGTCAGACAGAGCATTACCCCAATCTAATTACGTGGTTCATAATCAGTTGTCATTCTATCCCTGTTGAAGTGGGTGGGAGAGAGGGAGGATCAAATGAAAGGGGACAGCAGGAAAAGAGGAGGACAGAGGAAGGAGAGGAAGGAAGAGAGAGGAAGAGGGTGGGAGTAGTGACAGAGTGTTGAGGGAGAAGGGGTTGATGACAGAGGCAAGAGGAAAGGGGGAAGAGGGCGCAGTAGGGACGAAATTCCAACACAAATGTCATTTGCCAACTGGCTGAATGTGTTGATCACAGCCAGGCCCGGTCCTGGCCATTCTGCTGCCCAAGACGAGACCCCCAAAAAATCTGATTTGGTCCGGACCGGACCAAGAATCTACATCCGTGGTCATGCAAATCAAGGCTGGTCCGGACTGCACCAAAAAAAGAAGGTGGTCCGGACAGGACCAAAAAAAGACACCTAAAAGATGTCGCAGTCAGTCAGTGCTGACTGGGGTGTAGCCTACAGTGTTGGCCTGCAATGGAATTGTATGACTGCCCATCCATTTGGTAGGCCTACTGTTTGTAAAACAGGCAGTTGCATTGGCTTTATTAGTCCTGATTCCTGTGACTAATCACAGAAATATCAGCTACCCAACTTTACCAGGAGTTATCCTGAGCCTATTTGCAATGAGAATCAATGTGTTTACACAGCGGGAAATGCAGAATTAAAAATGTACGGATACAAACTTGAAACCAATGATCATGACAATTTAGCCCATGGGGTAAAACTCCTGGACAACAGTTGTCAGTAGTCTGATTGTCCATTCCATCATGTCATTTTGTTTTTGACCTGTCCTGTTTTTAGGATATGGTGTTGGTTAACATGTTAGCGCAGTTTTTTTATTTGATTGGGCGCCATTTAGGTTAGGCTATTTGATCAGAGAATAGTGCATGATGTAAAAAGTGTCCATCTCATTACATTGTCATACATCTCCAGCCTGTAGGCAACAGAAAAGGCCACATACTCTTTCTACCATAGGCTATATCTGCTAAATGATTTATGTTAGATGATTTTTGACAGAACGTTGGTGGAGCACCGCAGCGATGTGCGTCTCCGAGAGCACCCTGGAGAGTGGCTGGGAATGGACAAGCAACATATTTTGTGCCCCTGCCTTTGACAAAATGGGCACTGCTTATCATCAGCGCTCACTTAAAAAGCCCATATATCACTGGTTGAGAGAAATTGTCATTGTTTTGACCAGAATTATGTGTTGTGGTTGTTGGAGGTGCATATTGGTCAGTTTAGCTCAGAAAATCCCACCCTCGCCAATCTGCAGCGGCCTAATCCTGCCTAATGGCGGGCCGGCCCTGATCACAGCATTTAACAGGGCATCCTAAACAAGGCAAATCCCAGAGAGACTCTTCTCAAACCTCAAACTTCTGCTCGAATGTAACACAAATGTTAACTCAATATCTCAGTAGATGTCTCTGAGGACGAGCTGATCAACAAACTCAACCATCCAGAGTTCATGCTTCACAACCCACATCTATGCCATTACGCCACTATCTGATACAGTATACCAACACGAGTGTTAAATTAATTGTGATACCCAGGGGATCCTGCAGGGGTCAGACTGTTCCTGTCTCTCCCAGTCTTATTTTAGGGCAGTGGTCTCCAATCTCTAGCATAAGCGCTTTTATATAGGCACATTATTTTCATCTGCTCTACCCTGCAACTCTTCCACGGGTCCTTGGTGAACAAGATATGTGCTTTCTGTCAATATACCTGGTAATATAATGGTTAATAAACAGTATTTGGCATGACAAATAATATTTTGAATTTTCCGAATTCAGTTCTCTCAGTTTAATTTTATTTTTTACTCTCAATATAACAATTAATCATAGAGAAACAACGAAAATGGATGTTCTGAGTCCACGTTAATGCTTAAACCACATCAGAAGACCATTTTTGAGGTCTGGAAAGAAAATAACATTTAATTGTGCATCTAGCAAGAGAGGAATGTGTCAGTCTAGCGATGCTTCTGCTATTAGACCTACTGCTACAGAACATGTCATGGCAGAGTTTGCAAAGCAATGGCCACCCAATTGATACAAATAATCATGATATAGCCTATTCCTGTCAGGTAAGCCTACTTTGTTCACATTTAATTGAGAAGGTTTATGGGGAAAGTCCTTCTGTCTGCCCACAAGACACCAGTTATCATTAGCATCGCTATCTGGCTACATACGGACTGATAGACAAACACGCACACCAAACAAAAGGCAATATTGCTGGAAATGAATTGCCAGATATTGTGTTACGTTTGGCTTTTTAAGTCAACAGTGGCTAACCAGGGGTGGGATAATGTCAATGCGTCTTTGATTGGAATTGTAGCCAGGAGCTTTATGTTTATGACATTTTGCGATGGAACACATGAACACACAGAATTAATTGGCGAGCTTATCATAGGTGGGCTGCGAGCTACTGGTTGGAGACTCCTGTTCTAGGGTTTAACCTATACAAGCCATTCACTTTTGATAGGAGAGCCAGTGTTTCATCTCTCCGGTCTTACCTGTACAGTGTGTAGAGTAAATGTACCTGTTCAATAAATGGTTTAGGCTTAGGGTAGGGGTAGGAAACTTAAGCCTGCAGAGCCACAGTGTGGTAGACTTTTGATCCATTAGACCATGATGGATTGAATTAGGTGCGTTTGTGCTGTGCAGGAACAAAAGCCTGGGCACACCACAGCTCTCCACGATCCTGGCTGCCTAACCCTAGGCACAGAATCTACATTCTCTTACAGTAACCAATGGTAACCAACAGTAACATTCTTACCAATGCAGATCTGCTGTAGGTCAAAAGTCTTACAGCTGCCATTACTGGACTGAGAGAGGTCCTTGGCTGTGGAGCTGGGAGAGTCTGAGCCTGTACCATACAGCGCCAGGGTGAACTGAGTCAGAGTGCCTAGAGAGAGGGAGGGAGAGAGTGAGAGAGTGACACATAAGCAACAAGAGCACAGATTTCCAAGCCACAGTCTACACCAGCAATGCTTTGGCACTCTTCAGGGTGGGTTCTGTAATTGCAGCTTCTATCCTGCTCCATTTATATTCTAGATTCCTAGAAGTAAAGCATTAAATGTATAATCATATATTCTGGTGTTTCTCTATAGACCCGTTAGTTCAGAACAACACTTCCCGGGAGAGCCATTTATATGAGGGGCCTTTTGAGAGGGTCCAACTTCCTAAATCACAGAAGGGGGAGGGGGCTTAGAGATCTACAGCCAGAGAGAGGGAGGGAGATCGAGAAAGAGAGAGAGAGACAGAGAGAAAACAAAACGAAAGAGAGCAACCGAGAGAAAATTACAAATGAACCCAAAAAGATTGTCTGAGAGTAGTGTGTCCTGGATGGGCCTTAGGTCATAGTTATTCTGGATCGGCCTGGGTTAGCCTGGGCCAGACAGCAGGGCCCTTCACTCCCCTGCTTGATTTACTCTCGCTGGTTTAATGAAGCTGATTTAGAGGTGGGTGTGTGTGGAGCTAAAGACAGACTGCCTGACAGCTTGTATAAAATGGATCAAAAGGAGGCTCTCCGGGCACAGACACTGCTGCCCGCGCATAACACACTCCCTGATAGCGGTATAGAAGGATCTCACACACAAAATCATCAACACATGAATGACGTACATGCACACATGCACTGACACACATTATGAAATACTCAAATCCATTTAACACATAAATCAAGCACATACTTCATATGCATGCATTCTCTCTCACACACGCAGTACATCAATGAATCAACACATATGATGCACAGACAAATACAAATCCCAAGTATGCATGCTGTCACACACACACACATTCTTTCAGTGACACTGCTAGTCAGACATGGCTGCACTAACAGAAACCCTGTCACTCTGTCTTTCTGTCTCCGAGCTCCCAGCCAATGTTCCAGACTTAACAATAGCAAATGTTAAGGTAGTAAAAGAGAGGTGTCTTACCATAGTCGCTGGCCCCAGCTATGTTTACTATCTCCAGGGTCCACTCCCCCCGGGGGTCCTCGTCCCAGGAGTGTGTGGTCATGAAGGCCCAGTCATTAAAGCCCTCTGACGAGTAGTCATGAGGCCTGGAGAGGGGAGAGACAGGAGGTATGTATTACACTGTGTGTGTATGTACACTAGCAGTCAAAAGTTTGCATTCCAGGTGACTACCTCATGAAGCTGGTTGAGAGAATGCAAAGCTGTCATCAAGGCAAAGGGTGGCTATTTGAAGGATCTCAAATATAAAATATATTTAGATTTGTTTAACACTTTTTTTGGTTACTACATGATTCCATAGGTGTTATTTCAAAGTTTTGATGTCTTCACTATTATTCTACAATGTAAAAAATTGTAAAAATAAAGAAAAACCCTTGAATGAGTAGGTGTGTCCAAACTTTTGACTGGTACTGTCTGTGTGTCTGTGTCTGTGTGTACCTGGGAGCGAGCAGTGTGGAGCGGGTGCCCTGTGGGCTGGTCAGGTAGATGCCCAGGTTGCCCCTGCGGTTGTAGGAGAGGGTGAGCTGGGCCTGGGCATGTTCTAGGGAGCTCACATGGTTGGCTGTCCCAACGCAGCCGTCCACTGTCTTGGTGATCAGCAGGTGGCTCCCAATGTTCCTGACACACAATTAAACACACATCAGCATATATGACCAAATACATACATTTACACAAAGACAGCATAGTGATTGAAGATCAAAACTGGCTTGAAGTGGCTTGTGTTTTCATGTTGGTGGCTTCTGGTGTGTGTGAGAAAGATACCTCAGCTGGGAGTGACAGCAACTCTTGTGTGCAAAACTACAATGGTTCTCTGAGTGTGTGAGTGATGCTGCTTGAGAGTGGGACTGTCGCTCTGGACTAGTGTGTGAGCGATGCTGCATGAGTGTGTGACTGTCGCTCTGGACTAGTGTGTGAGAGTGAGCCTAGTGTGTGAGAGAGAGCCTGCTGAGGGCACAGGGTTTGCGGCCTTGAAACAGGATTAGCAGCTCAGGTCCTGCAGCAGCCCTGTCCTCTACAGGAGAAAAGTACCAGGCTCCCTCTACTCCTCCAATCCGCTTAGCAGCTTACACACATCCACAACAACTGAACCCAGAGGAGAGGAGGGCTGGGGAGGGAGAGGAGGGCATGAGGCTTTACAAAAGCTGCGGTGCCCAGCTGATAGAAAATACGGGCTGTAATCGGTGAACTGGGTGTAAAAACACACCGCTTCCTCCTAATTAAATCTCATAAAACGTGTGGCGTTAGAATCCAATCCGCAGCAGTCAGAGAGAGTGAAGGGGAAATAAATCCCCACCAAGCCAGCAGTTATCACTCAGAAGCAACACCTCTTGTTCTGTACAATGCACACTGCACAAACGCCATGCCACTAACAACACCTTTAACACAGGCTCCAGCGGTCGGCTGTGATCTATGGACCAGTACAGAGAGAATACAACACAGGGCTGGGATCCTGTCAGCTACTGTATGTAGCAGAGGCAAGGTTAAAGACATGAGAGAGAAAGAGTAAGGCATACAGAGATATTGAGAAAGTGTGAGAGGAATACAGAGCGAGAGACAGGAAGAGATACACAGGGAGCACAAGAAAGAGGGAAAGAGAATGAGAGAGAGAGCAAGAGCAAAGGAGCAGAAAGACGGAGCGAGAGAGTGAAAGAGCAAAAGATCGACAGAGGTTTAGAGACAGCCAGGGAAGCGTGGAGAACATGGAAGCAGAGAGAGACTCATCTGTAAAGTGATTATTTCCCTTAAACATGCTCCCCCAGGCTCAGAAGCTCATCACCCTACCATACACACACATCAGAACCCAGCAGAGCATCTCAATGGGCCCCCTGTGCCATGCTCAGAATGGAAACATGATGTGCAGTCACACTGGGGTATGACAGCTTGGTCACACATGAGCACCTCTCACACCTACGGCCCATCACAAACCATCCCACACACGGCAGCTCTCATCACCTCCACAGCCGACACCACCCAGGGGGGAGACAGACTCTCACAATCTGAAGCATCCTATTCTAATAAGAATCACAGAGGTTTATTATGTTTTAATCACCGGGTGGGTTAACTGTATTAAACCAAAAACCGATGTAATCCCTAGGAAGCTAGTACTGATGCTCCTGCCAGCCAAACAGTGAGTGGTATTACAGGTAGAGTTGGTAGAGCTGTCGTGTGTGTGTGCAGCTCACCTGGGCTCTGCCACCATGGACAGCACACATTTCTTCTGGGGCCCGACGTTGGTCCAGTTCTCAGCCAGAGCCACGATCGCACTGGCATCAAGCAGACCATACCCATATGAGTGGCTCACTGAGAGAGAGAGAGAGAGAGAGAGAGAGAGAGAGAGAGAGAGAGAGAGAGAGAGAGATCAATCGATATCAGACTGCTGAAAGGCTCCTTCATCACGATTCCAGTTCCAACTTAATAAGGGCCTCTTCACTATTAGATTATTGCATGTACCCTGCTGTGTGCCCAGTAAAACCTCTCCCTGAACTTTGGAGCCACGGCTTTCTGTAATTGCTTAATGTAGGCAACTTTAAATCAATTGATGTAAATACAATATAGATCAGTCTCCATTGTGCAACTGGCAGGGCACGGGGAGCGATGATGGTCAGCCGAGCTCAGCTAATGGGACCCTTCGCTGTACCTTTTCGTCCGACCCCATTGGTATTCCAGTCGTTGGTGAGGAGGTGGGCGGGATGAGAGGTCCTCACGACCAAGTGCTGCATGTCCCTCCATGTCAGGTTTTTACTGCACACACAAACAACAACAACCATACCTTTCATCAATATAGAAGATTCCAGATCTGCAATACACTTAACTTGATTATGAAGACAGTACAACAAGCAACAACATACCCTACTGTACCGCAATGCATAGTGGCTGATTGCAAAGGAAATGGCATTAGCTGCCCAAGTGCACTAGAAGAGTTGGAACATCAGGCTTAATGTTGCCGCATTGAAAAGATAAAGAAACCAGAGAGATCCCTGTCAGTCACATCCTTGCTCTCACTCTCTCTCCTCTGTTCCCTGCTCTCCCACACTCTCCTCTGTTCCCTGCTCTCACACACTCTCCTCTGTTCTCCGTATAAAACCCTGTGTTACTGCCGTTCCACCCAGCAGAGCAACAGTAAAAGCCTACAGTAAAACAGTCAAATAGTCTACAGTACCCCAGCAACACAGTGAGTTTAAACCTCATCAGCTCAGTCTTTTACTGGAAGGTCAGCTTTGACTGAAGGGAAAGTCATAAAGCCCTGCAGTACAGTCAGACACTTTTAATGGACAGGGAACTACAGAGGTTTTTACTGGTCACACGTGCCCCGTTCCCCAACCAGACTACAGTACTGAGCTGATGGCACGTTCATAGCAGAATGATAGGAGATAACTGAATAATCTATTCTGGTCCACAATGCATTATTACAAGACAATTGCGTTTCCCCCGAGAGTTTGTCGTACTTCTGAGACATCTCTGTGTGTGTGCTCAGACTGAAAATATTTGTGAACAGACAAAGAAACCCACAAAGGAGGGTGAGGGAGAGAAACAGACAGAGAAACATCAGAGAGAGAGAGAAAAAGAGGAAGAAGCAAGGAGACATTGAGACAAACAGAGACAACCAAAGGAAGAGACAGACAGACATGTGTCACTCACTTGGCTTCCAGTGCGAGGGCAATGATCCCAGCAGCCAGTGGAGCCGAGGCAGAGGTGCCCGTGTGGGTGTCAGTACACTTCTGTCTGAGGTCCGTGGTCACCTGACAGGAACAGGAAGAGAGTTAGAGTCAGTCAATCTTTTCCATAGTCAGATACGGTGCTCAGCTGAACACCCATTCCGGGCCGAAATGTTTACACCTAATATATGGGCAGATAAATAACATTTTATTGGAGCAATCAGTAGGAGTGTAAGTTATACACTATAAAAGTCAGATATTCTCCTCAGCCCCATCTACTTTGATAGATGTTTACGTATCAACACATGCTTAACATGATTAATCATAAATGTGGAAACATACACTCACACCAATTCATTAATCATGAGTGTGCACAGCATGCCTCATGGCAAGTGGTTGGGATGAACATCCATTACACAGTACAGTACTGTAATCTCTCCTAGTGAGAGGCTCTCCTTCCTCCATCTCCCTCCTGTGTGTGTGTGTCCGTGTGTCTGTGTGTGTGTGTCCATGTGTCTGTGTGTGTGTGTGTCCATGTGTGTGTGTGTCCATGTGTCTGTGTGTGTGTGTGTGTCCATGTGTCTGTGTGTGTGTGTGTCCATGTGTTGAGTGTGAGTGAGAGAGACATGTCTGTGGAAGGACGAGACAGGGAGATGGGATTTCAACGTTTTATTAATTCAAAATGGGCCTCAAGAGGGCGGGTTGGAAAGAGAGCAAAGAGCGAGAAAGAGAGAGTGTCACTGCTCAATGTGAGAAGACTGCAGGCTCTGGCTGTCTGAGGCAGGCCAGTGAGAACTGACTCAGTCATTCCTCCAGAGTGAACACACACACAACCTGCCTTGAAGCAGCAAACAGTCCAGTAAGCATCTGGCTTACAGTCTATCTGACTGGAAGGAGGAGCAGTAAAACCATTAGGAAAACTGACAAAGAAGTGCAACAGGATACAGGCTAACTAGGACATCCAGAAATGCTCAAACCTCTAGAGTACAGCTAGAGAGTCTGGACTAGTGCTTTGGCTCCGGATTCAACCATCTGAGATACTCTATGGCTCCCAGGAGCCAAGTCAACCTGCTTCTATACATTAACTCCCTGGCTATACATCAAACGTTTCCATCCATACATCTCACTGAAGCACACACACCATTCCCCTGACTAATATGCTGTAAAATAGACTTCCTCCTCTTCAAAGCTTAGTGGAAGCTGTGTGATCTCACATTGCAGTTAGCAACATATAACCACTGATGCCCTGGAACCACAGAGCACAAGACACAGGAGCCCCTACTCACACACTCTTCCACCCTGCATGCACACCAACACTCAGTTTAATGTTCTGCTTTCTGACATGCCCATTTTCAGACTGTACAGATGAATTCTACCCATTCTCCTCATGGCTCTCACAATGGGAGTGAGTGCGTGTACATTCAGTATGTTTATTAATCACAATCCGTTTCCCACTCCATTTGCCACTGTAAGTGTGTGTGTGTGTGTGTGTGTGTGTGTCTACTGAACTCACTATCTGTTTCTCATTGAGGTTGCCAGAGCTGTAGGTTGTAGCGAGGGTGGAGGAGCAGGCCTCGCTGTACCAGGGCACGTTGCCGTTCTGGGTGGAGCTGCTGATGGACAGGGTGTAGATGCTGTTGGTGTAGCCGTCACAGTTACAGCTGTCCTTCTCACGTCCGCCGTTCCCTGATGCCCACACAAAGATGGAGCCCAGGCCCCCACGACCCTAGAGGAGGGAGAGGGAGACAGTCAGACAGACAGAACAGTCAATAACAAACCTAGACAACCACAAGGCTTCTAGACAGGCCTTTCAGACGTACATGACCAGATGCATGTGTATCTTGGTATGGCACAGCTAATGAAAGAGGGGATCACCGAGTGTCCTTCAATCTAAATGAGATTCCCATTGATACTACAGCACAACTCATTACAGGGTCCATCTCTGAAAGGCCTGCCACAGCTCATCCAGACAGCACAGGACCGTGTGATCACTCAGACGCTTTGAATCCAAAGAGCTTTAATGTACCACGGCAGCAATACAAGACAACAGGGACTGTACGTCAACAAACCTGGAGCAATAAATCATCTGCGCTATTCAGCATTCACAATGAATAAATATCACGGTCCCACAAAATGCTCTACTGTGCTGGGTGGTGCAACCTCTCCCCATTGATCATCACACGCAACCATCCAGAGCAGTGTAACCGACAGAGACTGGAGCTACTGATGATGCAATGGCTCCCTATAGAATAGTATGTGTTTACATGCCCATATGCTTTTTATTTGACAGGCCTGTAATAAAGGGAGGCAGACAGGGCACCAGTAACGACCCTCTGATGCGGTTTGCCCAATAAGGTCTGATGGTTCTTTGTCTGAATGGCCCGTTGGCCCTGGCTCTCTGTGGCTTGGCTCTATGCTTTATGACTGGCTCGCTCACACCCCCTTACCCTTAGAGCTGGGATCAGATGGATGCAGGCTCCCATGTGTACACTACAGAGAGCCTGGCATATGGCCCCAATACGTCTGCAGTCTTCATGCTTACTGTTCCCTCCACTCAGTCATGCACTGTACACACCTGCTACACTCCCTGGACTCCCACACATACAAAGACTATGATTGAACAAAAGCTGATATCAGGAACATGAGTAATTACATACCAATCATGGTTACGACATCCAGACTGGGTTAACAGTCTACACTGCCCTCTCAGGCACTCACTACACTGGCTGGGCTCTATAGGAGGAACTAGAACTAGAGTGCTTACTATACTCAGGAATTTCATACTGGATATAAAGAATTCAAATACCCCACAGCCTACAGTAGCTATAAGATTGAATTGAATAGAGAATATAGTATGGCCTGAAAGCGTTGGTAATCACATGTTTGTTTGGTGGAGGCTGTATACAGTAAGAAGCCCATTAAAGACAGCCTTCAGCAAAGCAGCTACTGTTTCATATTGACACTAAAGACCAGGTCAGTTCCCCATCCTGCTCTTTAAGTAGTTATCAAAATGCCTAATTAGCATTGCACCGCTTACGCTCACTCACTCACTCACCTCAATCACTCACACACACACGCTCTCTCACACACACACACACTCTCTCACACACACACACACACACACACACACACACACTCTCTCACACACACACACACTCTCTCTCTCACACACACACACACACACACACACACGCTCTCTCACACACACGCTCTCCCTCTCACACACACACGCTCTTTCTCTCTCACACACACACGCTCTTTCTCTCTCACACACACACACTCTTTTCTCTCTCACACACACACGCTCTTTCTCTCACACACACACACCACAGTGAGTGGTCCACAGTGAGCGGTAATGTCTCAGGGCTGGCAGTATGTCACTGTCTCAGGGTTGGCAGTATGCCAACGCTCTGCTGTGCCCGGAAGTCCATGCGAGACAGAGGAGCTGGAACTAAGACTTCGTTCTCTCTGAATCCTGCCACACTAACATTAAAGCCCCATTAACTATTTACATCTGTTAGCATTTCACATGCAGAAGAAAATCTGCACGTGACCTGAGCTCAATGGCTTTTTAATGAGATATTCTCATAACACAAATATCACCCAGATGTCAGCATTACCCCTCTCAATAGCTCCCACTCAGATTCTGAAATAACTTCTACAATTGTGGTACTGTAGTTATGTGAAGGGAAATTATTATTATGAATGTACAATCTTTTTGGTGCTTTGTATTGAGGATTCTTTTTCCTATAGTATTTGTTCAGGCCTTTATTGTTTATCCTTAGAGTGTTTAGAAAGCCCGATATTTCCACAGCGACTAAATCAAATTCCCCCATTCATAATCGTCAGGGTCATAAAGTGTGCTTGCGTTGTTCAAGCCACCTTTGTCCTTCAATGGTTGAATAGTTCAATTCATAATTACTGCCTGTGTGTAGAGGAAGTCGCACACAAACTATTGATGCATGAGGGAGGCATTGAAATGGGGGCAACACGGCACACAACTGAGGCCCAGAACACACAGATATTTATAGACAAACCTCGGTCACGCCGCGCAGAAAGGCTTCCTTGGCTAGCTTGGCAGGTCCATCCACCGTCTTCCCATCATCCTCAGGGCCCCAGCTGGCACTGTAGATGTGGATGTGCTGTGGGTTCAGACTGAGAGACTGGGCCTCCACCACGTCTGTCACCTCGCCGTCCAGCATACGCACTCCTACACACACACGTACAAATTTGTACACATTTATTTAATAACCATCTACTCCTTTTCTTTGAGGTGAGGTTAAACTCAAATACCAAAGCCTCTAGTAGGAAAAGTGTTCCACAGAAAAACAAACAGTCAGCAGCAGAGTTGGTGATAATTAAGCCTTAGATCTGAAGAAGCTCTCCTGATACTTAAGGATTGTTTACAGGTGATAAATGAGAACATTCTGTTTCCCTCCCCAGAAAACAGATTTAAAGTTTGAATCCGGGTGGACTTTTCTTTGCACAAATCCTGTGCAAAGAGGGACACTTGAATTGGGATATGCCAGCGCTTTTTGTATATTAAAGCCATCAACTCTGAATTCAATTTAGAAAGTTTTGTATCGCCAGCCTCCAGGTCAGTTTTCGGAGCCTCCTCATCCTCTTTCTCTCCTCACCCCCATCCCAGACCAGCACAGACAGAAAGCTGAGAAATCTAAGGCAGACATCTTCAAAACAAATGCGTTGGCTGCTTTGATGCATGGAGAGTCAAATTACTCCATACTGCCCTCATACCGGTTAAAGTAAACAAACAAAGTTCGGCCCTTTGAAGTTCTCCAAAGAGCACCGACTCAGGGTTCCCGTAGAGCTCAGAACGAAACGAGCAAATGGTTTTATAGGAGGAGATAGCCCATTATCTGGGGAGCGCTGCGCCCATCCCTGCTACCCCTTACCTCCACCAACACACAGGGATTCTTATATAGGTGGGTTGAAGCCAATACAGCTTTCTAAATCTTAAGGCCAAAGCTTGAGCTTACAGGAAGGTTTGTGCTCTGGAATAGTGGTAGGATGACAAAGACCTGCCTTTCATTGGTAGTCACTGCCATATAGTGATAGGATATTAGATTCATCTCTCTCTGTGTGTGTGTATGTTTATGTATATATGTGTGTGTGTGTGTGTGTGTGTGTGTGTATACGTTTTACTATACCTAAATAATAAACCAATAGAGATCAATTCAGAGAAGTGAGGACATTTTGCTGGTCCTCACTTGTAAAAAAATGTATTTTAGACTTAGGTGTTAGGTTTAGGGTTAGGTTTAGGTTTAGAGGTAAAATAGGATTTTGAATGGGAATCAATTGTTGGTCCACAAAAAGCCCTCACAAGTATAGTAAGACATAGTTGTGTGTGTGTATGGTATGAGAGCTGGTGGAGGGGCAGTGCAATAGGCCCTCCACAGTATGGCCTTTCTAGAAATTAAATATTTATTTATAGAAGTGAGTATTTCTACTCACTTATTAACAGACAGCTGCCGGACTGGGCCAAGCCTGCGGGTAGGTAGGTCGCACGCACACGCACACGCGCACGCGCACACGCACACGCGCACGCGCACGCGCACACGCACACGCACACGCACACGCACACGCACACGCACACGCACACGCACACGCACACGCACACGCACACGCACACGCACACACACACACACACACACACACACACACACACACACACACACACACACACACACACACACACACACACACACACACACACACACACTCCTCTGCTTCACTCTCCTTTACTCCTGACAGAGCACCCTTGCTACAGTCTTGGAAGGACTATGGTTGGTCAGAAAGTTTCTATCCTCTGAATGGGGAAGGTGAGCAGAGACTGCTGCTCATTAACCATCTCATTAATACGCAGGTTCCAAGGCAGACACGGTTTAATCACTGCCCAGTGTAGAGTCTACCTTTATAAAGGAAGTAGTAGTGCTGAAGAGGCTGAACGCAGGAGGCATGCACTGTTGTTAAACCTCCTGCATTCAGCCTCTTCAGCACTCCTACTTCAGCACTCCTACTTCAGCACTCCTACTTCAGCACTCCTACTTCAGCACTCCTACTTCAGCACTCCTACTTCAGCACTCCTACTTCAGCACTCCTACTTCAGCACTAAGACTTCTATGTGTGTTCATGGTTTAAATGAGACAGTACTACTCCTGACAGTAGAGAAGCGGCGGCAGACAGATATTGGATGTTGTGACCAATAAGGACTAAAACTATGGGTTGGATTTAGCCGGCTGTGACAGCTGGAAACATGCAGCGGCATGGAGAGATAAAACAAGCAGAGGGTTAATGAGATGAGAGCATGAATTGACTGGATAAAAGAGATGGCTCTAATTAAAGGGATTACACACGCTTACACTGAGGCATGGGCTCAGAGGAGCCACGCTGCACACTGAGATTCTCACTCTCACAAACACACACACAAACACACCCCATAACTAATGTTCATAGAGCATCACTGTCATCACTGGGCCAAAAGTGGAGGAGGAGGAAGAGTTACCCTTGAGCAACTCCCGCTCAAACTGAGCTCAGAATAGTACGGAGGCAGCACCCATGGGTATTTCAGCTGTTTTAGCAGTCAGAAAACGTGAAGAATTGAAAGATAAAATGGAGGAGAAACAGAGAGAGATGACAATCAATCACCCTCTGTTCTATGGTACTGTACCTCCAATCCTGGCGTTGTAGGCCACCCCGACTCCACAGATCCCATTGTTGGCCATCGCTGCCACCTCTCCTGCACAACGAGTCCCATGCCTGGAGGGAGAAAGAGGGGGAGAGAGGGAGGGAGGGAGAGCGAGAGAGAGACAGATAGAAAGAAAGAGCGAGAGAGAAAAACAGAGAACGAGAGAGAACGAGGGGGAGAGAGAACGAGGGGGAGAGAAAGAGAGAATTGAAGTCCTCATCTTGATGTGTTTTACCCATATAAACACAGTTTACATTAGCTACAAACTACATCATTGTCTCCAGGCAGTGTGCATTATCTATAAATGGAGCTCTTAGAGAGAGTAAATGAACAGATACAGGAGGTTATGTAGGAATGCGCTCCCTGCGATACTGTGGTCTAAGATGGCCATCGACAAAAAACAAACTCATGTAGACATGTCCTTGGCTCTGGCTGCCTCTCAGCTGTTCCGACTTTGCTGTAGCCCAGAGGAAAACAGTCAGTCAGTCAGTCAGTCAGTGAGCGAGTGTGGGTCACGAAACATTAGACTGTTTCCTTCCAGCAGACCTTGAGTCTGGGGCCGCGGGGCCTGCCGGCAGCGAGGACAGGCAAAATGAGCTGACATGCTACCATCTTAAGGTGGGGGAAACGAATTAGACTTGCCATTTCCACAAAATAGCTTTTCATGGGGTCTGTGCCTCTCCGGTTTGATCTCTCCCTCTCAGCGCTGCAGGGGATCTGTGGAGAATGCGGACCACCACATTCCAGTCAGGTTAATTCCTCTGCTCCACCGGATGGGCACGGACTCTAAACGTCCTCCAAACCCCCGGCTCCCCAGCGGATCGCAGGACACTCAGTGGGTGCGGATAATGCCAGGGTTAGGATACACCAGATCAGCAGAGAGCAGCTCCACTGCCCAGGAACGCAGCCCAGCCAGCAGGCTCCCATTCAGGCAGAGTAAATAAACCAGTACTATGGTGTCCTATCATAGCCCAGGGGAAATACCCCAGTTGGCTGAGAGAGACTGACATCCTCCATTGATAACTTGCATGTGGTCTCAGCATGTTTTTTTAAAATTTTATTTCACCTTTATTTAACCAGGTAAGCCAGTTGAGAACAAGTTCTCATTTACAACTGCGACCTGAGACTGAGCCACCATAGCTCTATGAAAGCAGCAGCATATGCAAACTGTTAGCCATGGCCCTCGATGAGCAATTAAAGAATATGAAAGAGACTTAATGCCTCCAGTCCCTGTCTTATAGTGGGACGTCTTGTAACTGCCATTTAATTCTGGCAGACAAACAGCTCTTTGATCTCGGGGTCAGCTGCACTCAAACAACCTCCGCAACACTTTAACCTCATTTATCCAGGCCTGACTGATGGGCGTTAGGCTAGGCTAATGTATTCCCTTCATTAAACCCACAGGGCGGAGACCAGGCCTCGTTAAACAAGAGGGTCAGAGAGCGCTGCACTGTGGCAGTGGATCAACCAATCTGCCTGAGATCTCTTTAGACACGGCTATGAGCTGCGGGTCAAAGGTTAATGTCAGAGTTACCCCTGAGTGCTCAGTGTCACACTAACAAGTGTCATGGGACCTGGATTAACTGCAGGACCAGAGGGCATTTTAACCACATGCTTGACTGGTGCTGGGTAGAATGTGTAGAGGTAATTCAAAGAAGACCAGATCGAGGCGAAGAACACATCTAAAAGACTGAAACACAGCCACACACGTAGGCTGGCAGCTAGTATACCGCTATCAGTGTGAATTTGACAATGGAAGATCGGCAATTCACTTAATCTCCACTTTCATACCAGGGCAGGTATGTTAGTCCCTGTCCAGGCAGTGTTTGTAGGTGATCCATCGCTTTGTAGCGGTAGGAATGCGGGCCAGCGATGCAGCAGATGATATGGCACAGCTCAGGTGTCTGTGAAAGGATGTAGGGCAAGCCCAAGCTCATAACAACACCCGTCTGTCTTCTGAGTTCCCAGTCATATCTGCCTCTGACAAATACATATCCACCTAGATTTACATTTACATTTACATTTTAGTCATTTAGCAGACGCTCTTATCCAGAGCGACTTACAGTTAGTGCATACATTATTAATTTTTTCATACCCCCTGTGGGAATCAAACCCACAACCCTGGCGTTGCAAACGCCATTCTCTATCAACTGAGCTACATCCCTGACGGCCATTCCCTCCCCTACCCTGGACGACGCTGGGCCAATTGCGCGCCGCCCCATGGGTCTCCCGGTAGCGGCCGGCTACAACAGAGCATGGATTCGAACCAGGATCTCTAGTGGCACAGCTAGCACTGACATGCAGTGCCTTAGACCACTGCGCCACTCGGGAGACACAATAAACCAGTACTATAGATCTACAGTATCTGACACGTTCTTTTGGCATGTGATGTTGCTAGGGTAAAAATCAAAGGACACTGAAAATATCCCAATCTGAACATCTTCCAGAATCTAAGATGTGCGATCCTTTTGATGCAAAATGTTCTTTCCATGAGGCAAGTGCAT